TCCAACATTTTGTGGGCATCAGCACATTTGAAGGATGTCGCTCCTGATGTGGTGAACGTCATCCCAGCACTGGCTGCCCAGATTCCAGGTAAGGCTGGCTTGATGAATTCACTAGGCATATCTCAGTGCACCTTTGCCGTTGAAGAGTTGAAAGAGGTAGCACCAGAAGTGCTGAAGATTGCAGATGCCATGAAAACAAAGACCACTCGTGAGCCGAATCGCACCCGCATTAACGTTGGATGAAGGTTTCAGCAAAGTTGTTCAGTGAGTGAAGATCCACGGCAGGGTTTGTCTTCAGGTGTTTGGTTCCTCAAAGCTAAGTTTGGTATATGGACCAGAGACCGGTTCCTGGCACCATCTTGCGAAGAGTGCTCGGTGGCCAAATTGATGCACCACTGGAGGTCCGAGTGCAGGAGCAGCTTCGGGTTTGTACATCATACTGGCGTGTGGCAGTGAAAAGGGGACAGCGCATGTTTGGCATTGAGGGCTGTCATGCATTTGGATACGCATATATGAGCTCTGGAAGATGAATTAGTATTTTCTTCTATCATAGACCTTGCGAAAGAATTACAGGCAGAGTCATTGTATATGTACTGTAATATGCGTGTGTGTTAAGCCTTTGCTTCGCGCAGGTGTTTTCGCTACCTAGCACTGTGCAATCCAAAGCATTGGATTGTTTCCATGTTTGGATACCTTCAGCTGCCTTCAGCATAATTAATATTTTGTTTGATGGTAGTACTCGCAGGCAGTTTGGGGGGGTGCAACCTGCTACAACAAGGTTTCACAGGTGCGTGCTTGATGTTGTTTGTCCCATAACGTTGAGCTTTCAATGGACGTGCCAGCATGCTGTTGGCACCTATCCCGTGCTTAGATTGATGTTCAATGATTTTTTCAAGCTGCTGGGCCTGCTTCTGAGTGAACATGTTGTGGTCCAAATTCAGTATTCAAAAAAAGTAGTAAACTAACCTGACACGGACAGACATCTAAGCGTGATGCAAGAAGCCAAAGCCACGCCCACCTGATGCCCAAACATCCAGACATCTCGGAGTGGAAGTTGTTTCTTCGTGCATTTATACTTCGTCGCAATGGTTCTCAGTAGTCCGTATTGGCTGTTTCTTGGGGGCCAGTGGGTAAAGTCCCCTCCGACAAATCAGGGGATCCAATGTCAAGCACTCACAGCCACTTGCAGCATACAAAACTCCTTAGTTGGGAACTTGCAAGAGTTGAATCATTGAACAAAGTGCAATGGATTATTTTCATGTTGGGAATGCCGTTTGGGGCCACAGCAGGCAATGAAGGATGTACAGTGAAATCACAATCTACGGAACAAACATCAACTTGAGGAAGATTATCGAATCTCCGCCACCCATGACCTTGCACACTGACATGGGTCTAAAGGCAGCGGCAGCACCTTTGCCTGGGCCGAAGGTCCGCAAAGCCGGTGGTTCCGCCCTGCTGGATGGATGGCGACATGTTGGTTGGTGTGGGCCTCGTGCTTTGTGGTCGGAGGAATCGGTGTCTCACTACGTCCCCCAGGTGTGAAGTTGTGGAGCACTACCATGCTGGTCCGAGAAAAGAGAGGTTCCCTGTGGCGAAAGAACAGCAGTTCCAAGGCACCAGGAGGTGGGAGGTCTCGCGCCTCCTCATCTTCACCAAGAGGTGCGAAGGCCGCGATGATTTTGACTTCCAGAATCAAGAAGGCTCAGACAGCTGCTGACTTGCTTGGGGTGTTAGATGAGGCAGTGAACTCGCCTGACTTCAACTACTACCACATATCAACAGCATATCACACCTTGGCCAAGTTTCATCGGAAGGGATTGCTGCAAGGACTTTGCGAAAGCCCGGTGCTGCACAAGCTTCACACTCGGGTTGAGAACCTGATCAAGTCGAACCAAATCAACCCACAGGCTTCGGCCAATGTACTGTGGGCAATGGCAGTCCTACTTGAGGCAATTCCCAGTACGACTTTGTTGCTGCCAGTGTTGATCGAAGTCTTTCCAGAGAAAGCACCCGGCATGGACGCACAGGAGTTGTCCAATTGCTTGTGGGCATCAGCGCATATGAAGGATGTCACATTTGATGTGCTGAGCATTGTGCAAACAATAGCCGCGCAGATTCCAGGCAAAGCTGGTGGCATGGTTCCTCAAGCATTGTCCAACTGTTTGTGGGCATCTGCACATTTGAAGGATGTCGCTCCTGATGTGCTGAAGGTCGTTCCAGC